CACAATTTTTACATATATATATATATATATATATATATATATATATATATATATATATTAATAGTCAATTTTAAATTTTTCATCAAATTTTAACAAAATCGATTATTATGGGTTGTTTCATCCTGATTTAAAAAAAAACGATTTAAGGTCAGATCAAAGACGATGCGATTTTCCCATTGAAGCTCTATGTAAAAATTGCATCGACTTTGACCAACCCTTAAAGAAAAATTTTGTTTATCCAACAGGTTTCTCATTTTATTATCATTTTTTTAATCAAGTACAAAAAAAAATGCAAATTTGTTCTTTTACAGGGTTACGACAAAAATTTTATTTTTTCCTGATTTCAATTTAAAATTTTTTCCCTTTCCCTAATGAAAATGTTTTAAGAGGTTTTGAATTATAAAAAATTAAGACAATTTTTAGAAGAAAAAGTTTGAATTGAAAATTTTTTAAATTTGCCCAGTAACCAAACTAAATAAATTTTTTTTTCTTGTGTTCTATATGTTATATAAGACGTTATATATTAGATCACTCCCTTAAAATGTAAAAATTTTCATGATCCAATAATTTAAAATAAAAAAAAAAGAAATTGAAATTTATTGATAGGCAACAATAAATAATAATGAAAGTTGAATAGACAGTATTTTGTGAAGGTAAATTTTGTTCATTGTAACAAAAATACAATGAAAAGATATAAAAAAAAATCATACACAATTTATAAAAAGTTGTAAATTGAGAATCGTTTTCAATATTTTCCCCTATCTATATAAATTGACAATAAAGAAACGAAATAAAAAGTAATTTAAAATCCGATAATAAAATGTCTTTTGCGTGAATAATTTTTTTTTTTTTTTTTGATCCCTCTAATAAAATCTTGTGATTGTGTGCTATTTCTTTTTCTTACCTATATATAAAACTTCATTTCATTAGTCTTTTGAAAGTTTTTACTTTTACTTTTCAAATGAATAAAGAGAAAAAGGACGGAAGTACATTTATATATATATATACCCAAGTAGAAATGTGCCACTGGCATAGTACTGACCCAACACTGCCAGTCAGTATAACAGTACTGACTGCCGTACTGGGCCAGTAGTGGACCAACCCTGGCTGGTAACGCTGTCCAGTACTGATTTTGTCCCGCTCACCAGTACTAACGTAGTACTAGAATAATACTGGCATAATACTGGCAAAGTACTCATCCGGACTTAAAATCTCACTTTTTTACAAAATGCTAAAACACGCTTTCCAATGCAAATTTCATCCTTATTAGCTTATTACTCCCATTTTTACCACGATCAGGTAATGTGAAGCCAATAATAGTTAATGTTATTTAGAATATATAAAATATTATTAACAATAAATAATTAAAATAATAATTATCATTTATATTAATTAAATTATTTTATTTTTAATAAATTATTTTACAAAAAATAATTTGTGTTGTAAATTTTTTTATTTTTTTAAATTCATAATATTTAATTTTTTTTACTTTGCACTTATACTTAATTTAATAATTATTTAATAATTGATATTACACATGAACAAATATTGTACTTATAACACTTAAAACTAAGAACGAAAAATCTCGCACGCATGGGGGATCGAACCCTAAACCCTTAGAACGCAAGTCAGATACGCATACCGCACAGCCGCGCTGGCTTGAAGTGCTGACTTGAAGTAGTTCACCTAATACAAAAGTTTTGTTTTCAAAGTTTGTATTATCTATTGATCACGAAAATAAAATGAATTTATTCTTAAATTTTTTAAACTCACAAAATTTTTTCAATTTTTACAAAGATTTAATGAAATAAAACTGGATATCAATTTCAGTTAAATATTTTTAATAAATTATTTTTACCGTAAATAATATTAAAACAGACAAAAATGATTGATGAATTACATAATTAAAAATAAGTTAATAAAAGACAACTGTAAAATATGAATGGTAAAAAATTTTTTAAATTTAATATTTAATTATTAATAATATTTAAAAATTACAGTGAAAAAATTACATTTGCTTTATTTTTAAAACTATTAGAAAAAAATTCTCAACTTATTGTTATTGTATGCATGATAAATAACTTAATGCACATATTTCAATGAGTACTAAAATAACTAAAAAAACATAAATATATTTTATATAGGTATATAATAATACATTACAATTACATCCAAAATTTTGAGGGAAAGTATTCGAAAGAAATTAATATACATTTTTTTAAATAAAAAATCATCGTTTTCTACCTATTGGAATAATTTAAAGACTTTTTCATTTAATGATTTTTATCACCGACATAGTACTGATTCGGTGTGAATGACAGTGTACTGCCAGTACTTGTTTTAATATTTTTTTACCTCCGACATAGTACTGATTCGGTGTATTAGTCAGTACACTGCCAGTACTGAAAGTCAATACCGACAGCCAGTATTGGATCAGTACCATGCCGGTGTTTAATTACGGCGAGCTACGGATATTTCTACTTGGGTATATATATATATATATACTATCATAAATATCGCATTATTCGAAATCTCATGTTGTCTCATCCACTGTTTGACACGAATAAAAAGGACATACTTCTCAGTTGGGAGTCATATTTTCACTTCGAGGGATGAAACTTTGCAGTGTGAATCGAATAAAGAAAATTTTCTGTTTATTATTCTCATCTCCCCCTCCCATCTCCCTCTAAGTTACTTGACCGATGACAGCAGATGCGAAACTTTTCTTTTCAAGAGAGTAAAATGTGGAAGGTTGAAACCGTGCGCCTCGGAAATTCCATTGAAAACCACACTGAATTCGAGTGTATTTTAAATATACTTTGACTAATATTTTTTTTTTCTTTTCTCCTTTCTGTCTTCTTCGAAAACAACGTACCCTTGTTAAAAAGTCGATTCTTTTGAATAAAAAAGAAAAAAGATCAGACTTTGAAAAAGTTTAATTATTTAACAAAAAAATCAATATTTTATTGAAAGTATTATTAAATGTTGCTGGTATGCAGTAACATCAGAAAAATCACAAAACATTTTTTAAGTTTCAACAAAGCAAATTTAAATTAAGATCTTAAAGATTATGTTGTAAAAGTTTAAAATTTTTCTCTAAATTAATTATTATTTTTTAATAATTTTAATTAAATTCTTCACAAATTCAATTATTTAAAATTAATTTTTAATATTAAAAATTTTATGAAATTGAATAATTGTTTACAATTAAAAAAAAAAACAAATAAAATTATCACAAATTTCAATTTAAAATCTTAAAAAATTTAATTATATGTTTAAAATTTTAATTTTTTTTGTTTAATTTCTAATAAATTCTTCATCAACAGAAATTAATAAAAATTTGAATTAAAATTCACTTGAAGTTCAATTAATTTCAAAAATCTGAATTATAAATCTTTGAAAATTCAATTACTTTCAAAAAATGTTATCTAAAATTATTCGATAAATTATTTTCAATTCTGTAAAATTTAATTATAGTCTAAAATTAAACAAAACCTTTTGAAATTTAATTATTTAAAATTTTATTAAAATTATTTAAATTCAATTATTTCTAAAAATTTCAATTATAACTTTTCCAAAGTTCAATTATTTTGAATAATTTTAATATTTTTTTAAAAATTCAATTATTTAAAAAAGTTTCTAATAAAAACTTTAAAACTGAATTGTTGTCAGAAATTTTTTTTTTTTAGAAATTTGTCCTACGATGGGTATACTAAGGTTTTTTGGTCGCTGAATCCAAGTTTAAGGTCAGATTTAAAAAATTCAAAATGGCGGACCCAATATGGCGGAAAAATTAAAAATTGATTCGATTCGTTCGAAATTCGGTACTAGGGGGTTTTAGGGGTCGCTGAATCCAAATTTGAGGTCAGTTTTAAGAAATTTAAAATGGCGGATCCAATATAGCGACCTAATTTGTCGGAAAAACTTAAAATTGATTCGATTCGTTCAAAATTTGGTACTAGGGGTTTTTTGGAGTCGCTGTATCCCATTTTGAGGTCAGATTTAACAAATTCAAAATTTGTATTCATAGACCTCAAAAACCCCCGAGTACCGAATTTTGAACGAATCGAATCAATTTAAAAATTTTCCGCAATATTGGGTCCGCCATTTTGAATTTTTTAAATCTGACCTCAAATTTGGATTCAGCTACCCCAAAAACTTTTAATACGATGATATGATATTTTTTCGGAAACTATTTTTTAGACCGTTTTGAACCTACAAACGATTTTTCTACTGGACTGCGAAGGGGTTAATTAAAATTTTTTAAATTTATGTCTTCGATTCTGAAATATTCGAAATAAATTTTCTTGATAATATTCCTAATAAAATTAATATTAAATTTAATTAAAATAAACAAATCGACTAAAACGACTTTTTTTCGCCTTAAAGTCGATTCAAGGATTAAATATTTTTGGAAACTTTTTTTTTAAATTAGTTTTGAATTGGTAAGATACGTATTTTCGAATTTTGAACTAATTAATAAGGAGTTTATTAAATTTATATAGGTATCGATATAAAAAACGGTTTGCATAACTCGATTCGCCTATAGGTATACATATCTGAGAGGCCAGATTACATCATAAATGCAGGGTTAATTACTCCTCGCCGTGAGAATTACTGAGCAAGCAGAATATAACACGCTTGTGCATTTCATTGCTGACAGCTTGAACCAAAACTATCATTCACTATTAATGGATCCCTATATCTGTTTTTATTGTCTCCCATGAACGTGTCGCCAACCTTGTCGACATTCTAACAGGTTATTGAAAACCATAACATATTTATTGATCAGAATAAACATCAATTTCGACTTTTAAATTTCATATTCATATCTCATGTAAAATACATATGTCCATATTGGATATATACTGTGCGCGCGAACAAGAATCTATGATTAATATGTGTTGTCTTTTATTTCCACATAAAATATTTATACTTGAGATACAAAAACAACTTTCTTTTTAAAAATTATAAAATAATTATGTGAATTTTTGTTTTAGATTAAAAAACAATGTCGAGTGATCAGGATTCATGTGAAGGTTCATCCCAACTTGCCTGTCAATGTTCGACGATAATGAATGTCGATTCAATACGTCAACGTGACAGTAGATCAGAAAGAAATCTCGGTAGTAAGAGAATATCAAAAATACAAGATCTTTCTCGAGATTTGGAAACTCTACAAAATATGTTCGAACCAATTAGACATCGTGATACATCGCCCTCAATTATTCAGGAAAATCAACACGATAATTCAAAAACGATGGACAATGAAACAATTGTAATATCATCATCATCATCACCAATTGAAGTTCAAAATGACATGTTCTCTCGATATGGACATACAGTTTCCTCCAGTCCACACAATATGGATTCATCATCACGTAATCTTACAAACCATCATCAGGAGGCTGATAATAATCCACATCGTCAATTATCCAGTCCTGGTTCACTACTCGACTCAAATTCCTCAGATCTCAATGAAATGTCATTAAACGATCTGGAAAATGACATTGACGACAATGAGGATGACAACGACGATGATATTAATTCCACAAAGGAGAAAATTAAAATGCAGGTACTTTATCACGAACCTGGTGTACACAGTCATCTTCTCAGCGAGGCACACATCTATCAACACGAGAAACCCTGCAATCGTGACAACTATAGCAGAGGATCAAATTCAGATATTGGCGATGGTTTAATGAATTTTCAACACCATCGACAGCACTCTCATCATCGTAAAATCTCTGGCCTTTCTCACCATCAAGCGAGTAATCATTCTTGTGGAACCTCAAATCTCAGTAGTTACGCTTATAGAACTTCTGGTTCATTGGTCACGACACCAAGTCCCAGTCCAATGAACCGGGAGAATATCTATCATCATCCTGGTTCACCGACGAACAATAATTTGGCTCTACTTGAACCGGGAGTACATCATCGAATGGTTGGCAGTAGAATTAGTTATAATCATCATCATCATCATCAATATCATCAAGGAAATATTGATCCTTCGGGACATCATCATCATCATCATCATCATAATAATCATCATGGTGCGAGTGGAACTTCCTCAAATTCAAGTTTAATAAATCATGGAAGTTCACCAACGACTGTTCATCGTCATGTTGTGAATATCAATAGTAGTTTATCGACAACTCCACTCATTAGTCATCATCATAGAAGTTCCTCGGGCAGTCTTACTGGGAATTCGACCACTAATCATCACCACGTGAGTTCCGGCATTTCTTGTGAATCTTCATCTTCAAATACAAATACGCGAACGCACAGTCGACTTGATCATTTTCACGATCATCGTCATCATCAACAACAACAGCAGCAACAACAACAACAACAACAGCAACACCATCATCATCACCTACAGGCGGTTCACGCGTTGCACTCGACGTTACCGGATACGAGGCCAAGGGAGAGAACACCCTCGAGTCTAGATCATCATAACAGACGACTCTCTCATGTGCATGCACATGGATATTCGCACTCGCAAAATGATGCCAAGCACTCGACTCTCGTGGGAATTAATAGTATTCAGGTGAGTAATGTTAATTTAGGAAAAAAAAATTTATTCTATTAATTTAATTTTGTAGACGCATGAAAAGGTTCTAAAAATCAATTGTTAGAATTTTCATTTAATAGCATTTCATTAGATATAATATATGGGTGATTCTCTCAAAAAGGACAAATTACATTCAAAAATAATAAAATTGATTGAAATTATTAAAAATTCTGTTAGCCATACGTTCAGATTTAACAATTTTCAATCGGATCACTAAAGAAAAATTTTAAAAAAAGGCCAAATAACTGAAATATTGAATAAAATCTGATGTTACCGAGGGGAGTTTTAACACTATTTTTCATTCAATAATTCAGTTATTCGACCTTTTTTTTGAAATTTTCATTAGTGATCCGATTGAAAATTGTTAAATTTTATCGTATGGCTGGCAGATTTTTAGTAATTGAAATTAATTTTATTCAGGGTTGCCTGAAATCAGGGAAATGTCAGGGAATTTAATAAAAAGCGCTGGAAAAATGTTGTAAACCTAGATTTCTATTAAAATATTCATTTATGAATTTATATAACAAAATAACAATTTTACAGAATTATTTGTAGAATTTTTATTTGAATCAATCAAAAATTATTAAGAAAACCAACTTTTGTTAAATAAAAATTTTGTTATATAGAAATTCTTTTAATTGGAAATTATGTTAATAAAAATACTTTTAAGTGAATATTTTCATAAATAGAAATTCTACAAAATCAGAATTTTGTTAAATAGAAATTTTTCGATATTAAAATTAGACACATTATAGAATTTTTATTTATCCAAAATTGCAAAAATGTCCAAACAAATAATCGATATAAAGATTTCGGCGCGATTTTTAAAATCAACCAATCACAATTCTATAAATAATTTTTGATTGGTTGATTTTAAAATTCGCGTCTAAATCTTTCTGTTGATTTTTTATTCGGTCATTTGCAATTTCGGACAAATGAAAATTCTATCAATTAGAAATTGTGTTAAATAATTTTTGATTAAGTATACATAAATTCTGTAGTATGAAAAATCGGTTAAATGGAAATTCTATGAATTAATAATTCAAGCAAATAAAAATTCATCAAATACCAAAAATTCCAATTCTCCGAATTTTTATTTGTTCGAATTTTGAATTAATAGAATTTTTAAGACGCTGAATTTTCATTTATCCGAAATTACAAGTGGCCGAACAAAGAATCAATCGAAAGATTTCGGCGCAATTTTTAAAAATTGACCAATCACGATTTTCTTGATAATTTCTAATTAGTCAATTTTTAAAAATTGCGCCAAAATCTTTCTGTCGATTGTTTGTTCAGCCATTTTTAATTTTGAATAAATGAAAATTCGGCGTCTTAAAAATTCTATTAATTCAAAATTTGCACAAATAAATATACGGTAAATTGAAATTTCTGTCATTTAAAAATTTGAATCACATAAAAAATAAAACTTCAGCCAAACAAAAATTCGGTAGCTAAAAATTTTATGTAAAAAATCGTATAAAAAAAAATCTATCAAATTTGAATACAAAAAATTAAAAATTCGACTAAAAAAATTATTATTTCCAATTAAATTCCTTTAAAATAAAAATTCTAATTAATGATTTTTATGGGATATATATATATATATATATTGCAATAGAAATATTTTTGATATATTTTATAAAAAAATGTTTTTGTATCGGAAAAAATTATAATCCATATTACATTATCTATTTTAAAATTTCTCATTCCTGTATATATCTATATACCTACCATTCCTATATATTATTGACAATGAAAAAAGCATTTCAAGGGATTTTTATTATTCTCTTTTCGATGACAAACTGAATTTTCAAAAAGATATATAATATTATATTTCCATATTGAATCCAATGGACTATGAAAATTTAATGAATTCCACTCTATTCTGTCTCTCACTCTTAATTTTCAAAAGCAAATTAAACAGTTTCATTTATATATAATATATTGATAGAAATTATTCATTACAATATTTTAATGAGAATAAAATTAGGTAGATATTTCATTTCAAGTTCCATAATATTAATAATGATAATAAAAAAAAAAATTAATTTGCTTTGAGATTAAAAATTATTTTTATTTTAAAATTTAATAGTTGAAAATAAAACAAAAAGCTCTTTTTAAACACATAATTTGCAAGTCAAAAAAATTGTTAAAAGTTTTGAAGGGTGAGAAAGAAAGAGATGAGGGGGAGGGGGGGGGGTAAGACGGGAATGTAGTGGTAAATCTAAGAAGGTAAAAAATGTGAAAAGAATGTTTAAGAAACAAGATCTCTTTGGCCCTCAGGTATCGACGCCCTCTAAGAGTAAGTGCCAGTGTCATATGATACAGCAAGGGAGTAACAGCAAAAAAGAATCGGAGGGTGAAAATATCGGGGGTGGTGAAGTGACACTAAGAACGCATCAGCCCCCAGCCTTACCGCCAAGACCACCCCCAAGGCCTGCCAGACGTTTCGAAACTGTGACATCCGATCCATGTAAGTCATTTTTACATCATTTTGACCACTAATTTTTTTTTTTTTTACCTTTCTATTATGTGCCATTAATTTGAATTGTTTTCGAGAAATTTAAATTAAATTCTTTTTATTTACACTCGCAATTATTATTTCTTCTATTTTATATTCAAAATCGTATTAAATTTTCAAAATATTTGTCATTTTGTTTTTTCATCATTATCGCAAATTGAAAATTTTCCTAAACAAAAAACATAAGGTTCACTTGAAACTCGTTACTGGGATTGCTGATTAAGAACCCAGTGTCAGTTTTTAAAAATTCAAAATGGCGGACCCAATATGGCAGACGAATTTTTTTAAAATTTAAGGAATTCACTTGAAACTCGTTACTCGGTGATTTTTTGGGGTCGTTGACTCTAGATATGGGTAAGAATTCCTGAAGTGGCCCCCTAATATTTTTTGTGTAATAGAAAAAAGTGATACTCACATATTTTGGTAGTCCATGATGTCACTAAAAAACCCCTGAAACGATTTTTCAAAATTCGCATTTTTTTAAAAGTTATAAACAATTAAACTTTTTTGCAACGTTTTGGAAAAAATTCTGTATCTTGAAATTGGCCGAACCGATTTTAATAAAAATTGATTTGGAGAAAGATTAAGATGCGTACTTTTGATAAATAAATAAATTATGAATAAAAAGTATAATTTGTTTAAACAAATTATATTGTTAATTTTTAACTTTATAAATTAACAATGTTCTCAGTCGATTTTTCCAATTTTTTTTATAGAATCATAAAAAGGGGCTTTTCACGATTCCATGACAAAAATAAAAAAGTGGGATTCTCAAAAACTTTAGAAGATACAGAATTTTTAGTCTTAACGCGCGCGAGTTTTCTGAGCAGCTCACGCATACGGCGCGGCATCTCCCGCGCGCCCCGCGCCAACCAAGACTCCATGAGAGTTCCCGATTATAATATTTTATTAACTCAATTAAACTAAACAGTTGTTTATATGTATTTTATTATTCATATCATTTTTGTTTATATTTAATCATTTTTATTATTTATAAAATTTCTGTTTATAATAAGTTTCTGATTATTTAATTTTAATGATAAATTTTCAACGTTTTTTAATTGTTTTTGTTAAATGTGTTGATGGCTGCTTTGCACGAAAAACAAATGAACTGTCCTATTAAATTTTTAAATCTATAATTCCACGAATTAGGCACTTTCACAAGATTTTTATAAACTGCTTTATGTTCGTTTTTTTCAACGGGTTGCAGCAAGTATTTGCTTTTGGCATATTTTAAGATTTGTTTTTATAGCACATACGCGAAAAAGTAAAATTTTTAATATACAACGTGAAAAATACTAATCGAAACAACAAACACGGACTTACATTTATGTATACGTAAAGAAAATACTATGATCTAAAAACGAAATTATCATGTTAGGTGAATGACCAGACGATTGTCGCGATTCTTTTGTTTTCACGTGAAAACGCGCAAATTTTCATTCAGTGCGCATAAACGTGAAATTTGTTAAAATTTTGACAGCAAACGTTAAACAATGCAGTCTAGAAAAATAAAACACGGATTCGCAATAATATATTTTATTATTCATTGATACATAAACAAAACAATTAAAAAACGTTGAAAATTTATCATTAAAATTAAATAATCAGAAACTTATTATAAACAGAAATTTTATAAATAATAAAAATTATTAAATATAAACAAAAATGATATGAATAATAAAATACATATAAACAACTGTTTAGTTTAATTGAGTTAATAAAATATTATAATCGGGAACTCTCATGGAGTCTTGGTTGGCGCGGGGCGCGCGGGAGATGCCGCGCCGTATGCGTGAGCTGCTCAGAAAACTCGCGCGCGTTAAGACTAAAAATTCTGTATCTTCTAAAGTTTTTGAGAATCCCACTTTTTTATTTTTGTCATGGAATCGTGAAAAGCCCCTTTTTATGATTCTATAAAAAAAATTGGAAAAATCGACTGAGAACATTGTTAATTTATAAAGTTAAAAATTAACAATATAATTTGTTTAAACAAATTATACTTTTTATTCATAATTTATTTATTTATCAAAAGTACGTATCTTAATCTTTCTCCAAACCAATTTTTATTAAAATCGGTTCGGCCAATTTCAAGATACAGAATTTTTTCCAAAACGTTGCAAAAAAGTTTAATTGTTTATAACTTTTAAAAAAATTCGAATTTTGAAAAATCGTTTCAGGGGTTTTTTAGTGACATCATGGACTACCAAAATATGTGGGTATCACTTTTTTCTATTACACAAAAAATATTAGGGGGCCACTTCAGGAATTCTTACCCATATGTAATCAGCGACCCAAAAAAATCATCGAGTAATGAGTTGCAAGTAAATTCGTTGAATTTTTAAAAAATTCGTCCGCCATTTTGAATTTTAAAAAACTGACACTGGATTCTTAATCAGCAACCCCAGTAACGAGTTTCAAGTGAATTCCTTGAATTTTTAAGAAATTCGTTTTGAAAAACGGCTAACGCTATATTGAATTCAGCGTACCCAAATTAGATTGTTTGGTTGTTTAAAAGATATTTTTTTCTGATCAATTGTTCAATCAAATTATTTATTTATTTAAAAATATTTATTAAAATCAAGGAATTTATTTAAATCAATTAAATTTCGTTAAGAATTTTACTTAATTTTAAAAGAAAAAACTAACATTCCTCTAACGAAAGTAATTACCGGAAATTGAAAAGTATATTAGTTCATTGAAAATAATAATCGAATGATTAACACGAGAGAGAGTTACTATTTGAGTTATTCTTCATCGGAATTCATGCACCTTGAATTCCATCTTTGTACGATCACTCGCTCTCTGTTTGATTTACTACCAGACCTAATAACCGCTTCAATTAACAGTCAGACACACTGTGGACGCCCTCGAAATATATATCGACTATTTCATCGATTGGTCAAAGTTCTGACATTAAAAATGATGGGCACTGATCGTTAAAAATTAACGACGTGACCGCACAACATACCTATATGTATATATTCAAAATATAATGTATATGCACAAATATATTTCTCTGTCGTAACTTTTAAAGTTCTTCTCTCTTTGACTTGAGGCGCACCAACTTAAGTATCACGTTAGGTTGAATAAATTTTTTCATTAATCAAATTATAATGATATAGTTCCGAAATATTATAACAATTAGTAGTTTCATACTATTATTTGGATATAAAGTAATAATTTTAACTGTTAAAATGATAGTTATAAAAATTGTAATGAATAAAATACAAATTTTAGAAAAAATTATATTTTATAAATTTTTTTTGATATTTCAAATTAATGGTACATTTTTTAGTAGGTTTTGTAATATGCAGTTTTAATTAATAATAATCAATTATATAATTATAATATTGTAATTAATGATAATTACAATATTAATGCTGATTGTCAAAATAATAACTGTAACTATATTTTCTTCTATATGTAGGTATACAGAAACTTAAGTTTCAATTTTGAGTCAATAAATGGAAATTAAGTATAATGTGATATAAAATTTAATAATACAACTTTTATCTTTCTTTATATTTTGTATATTAATATAGTTGGAAAAGTATTAAAACAATTACGATTATAATAATTTTATAAAAGCTTTTCTTTACTTTCATTATTAATGGTTAAACGTTGAAAGAAATAAAGTTTAAAATTATTATTATACTCACATTATAGTAAATAAATGATGGTTTTAAGTTACGATATGAGAAATAGCTTTGCCTTATATATATATATATATATATACTATACCATTTACATGTTAAACGCAACAAGAAAAAAAAGAACTTATGGTTTTAAACAAACAAAAAAATATTTTTTTAAAATTAAAATTCTCACTCTGATTTTCACTAAATAAAAGCAAGTAAATAAAAAGCAACTAAATAATTAATATAATAATAATAATAATAATAAATAAAATTTAAATCTTAAAAAGTAGGTATATAATTTTCCTTTTTATGTAGGTTGACATTAAAATTTTGTAACTGTATATAAATCAAGTTAGAAAGTATTAGAAATAAATAGTCTATATGATATATTTTCTACTTTTCAAAATATTTCATAAACTATAAAATTCGTTTAATGACAGTTACAAAAGGTATAATTAAACGAAACTTTTTTTTGGTTTGAAAAAAACCTTTTTCGTTTATTGGAAACTTTAAATAATTTCTCTAAATCTGAATTAGTAAAAATAAACTAATTTTTAGTAAAATCTTGCGGCTGACTTTTTGTTTTATCAATTAGTAAAAAAGTTACTAATTATTATTAAAACAAAAAAAGTAACTAATTTTTAATAGAAAAATAACTGAAAAATTTGTCAAATTTGGCTAATTGAACTAGTTAACAGGAATTTTACTTATTTTACCATAACCTAAAAGTAAATTAAACTAATTAGTTATTTTATACATCTTAACTAAATTATGTAAATCCAAAAAAATTATCATCTATACTAATTAGTTATTTTTAACTAAAAGATTAGTATAGAAATAATACTATTTGAATTAGTAACTAAATTTCTTCTACCAAATTATAATTATATATTTATAACTAATTCAAATTTAGAGAGACTATTAAATAGAAATTCCATTAAATATAATTTTAATTAAATCAAAATATTACATAAAAAATTAGAAAAATTCGATTAAAGAACTCCAAGGGTGCCACAAAAATTTAATTTATTTTTTCCCTAATATTGCCAACCCTACACGGCAAATTTGCCACAAGCTGACTGCAAGCTTCAAATGTCCCACCTGACCAGAGAAATGTTACTGAAAGATTGCACAATAAGATTATCGTAAAATTGTTCAGAAAGCTTGCACGGTAAGCTTGTAGCAAGGTTGGTGCAAGGTTGCCAAATAACCTTGCTTTGAACTTAAACATTTTTTTTTCTTAACGTTTCGTCTAATTTATATAATTTTATTAAATAAATTATACGAAACATTTTGAGAAACAAATTTTTT